GCAATCCACCCACCCCTCCTCTTGTCTTTCGCTGTCACCCTGTCATAGAACCCAGTAGGTTTGTGACACAGGATTTCCCCTCCCCGAAACCATGCTGGCTGCGTTGAGAGATCATTTCCCTTTTTAGGTTTCCACCACCCTTTTCCCGAAATTTTTCCCCTGATTTTGCAACTATAAGTATGACACTGGTCGATTTAATGCTTATTTTGTCTCCTTTTTTTTAAAAATTGGGGCTACATTTTTTGCTTCCAGCCTCAGGGAATCTCCCTGTTTTCGATAGATGTATTTAAAATTGTTGTTAGGGGTACAATCGCCTCTGCTCCCCCTCTCTACCCCTGGGGATGTTTTCTGGGCCCCCTTTCCTTTTAGGGATTAGCCACTCAGAAGCCTCTTCACTTCTTCCCGGTTTTGTGCACTGGCCAGCACTTGGGGGGTGGCCCCACTCCGTCTTCTGGGGTCCTTCTGTCTCCTCTGTAACACTTTTTTGAATCCTTTTTGATTTTTCAATACTTCCGGCATTCCTGTTTTTCTCCCTCCTTCCTTTCCCTTTGCCTGATTACCTGGTCCTTGACTGTTGTTTTCCTCCTGATTGGCTGTACAAAGTTTCGGGTCAGATTTTGGGTTTCGCGCTATTCATTTTCTATGTCTTTGGGCCTCCCTTTTATCTGTGCATATTTCATTTCTGGCTCTAGACTTTTCTCCTTATTCTCCTGGGGCCTTTTCCTCTTTTTTTTCTTCCCCTTCCTAGCACACTTGGTTTTTTCCTCCCTGCCCTTTGGGTAAACCATGGCTCACCTGGTTTTTTATTCTCCTGTTACCCTTGGGGACAACCCTCCTCAGCCTCCTTGTTTTTAAATTTTAAATATTTCCTACTCATTAAGGTTTCCCTGCCAGTTCTCTGTCCCCCCGAACCCCCCCAGTAGTTCCTCATTTCCCGTTTACCCCTTTTTTGTAGTTTGGCTTCATTCGTCCGGCCTTCCTGCTTTTCCCTCCACTTGTAGCTTACGTGTATTTTGAAACTTACAACCCCAGGTCACGGCCCCAAGGGGTCTTTCATGTGATGTCCTCGATATCGCACTACTGAAAGGGGAATACTAATCCCGCCTTGTGTTATCCTCTCCTCTCTCTCTTTTAGGTCCCCTTTTCGTGTTGGTTTCATGAAGTTTCCAGTACCACCTCCCTCTCTTAGCCCCCCAAATACTTGGCCCCCATGTGGGTCCAATTCTCCAATCTATCTCCTTTTGGTTAAAGTCCCCATATCAGGAGCTTTGCCCTGCATCTGGCTCTTCTGGCCCCCTCTATTTGTGTCAAAACCCTCGCTCTATTTCTCTCGCGTATCTTTTCCTTTGGCCCCCCTCTGTTCTGTGGTGGGGTTTAAACCTGCTTTTCCACCTTGGGACCTCCGAGGAAGTGTTCCCCCTATGTAATCACTTTCTTCTCCGCTATCTTCCTCCCGCTCATCAAAAACCAGCGATTTTTGATCAGCAAAGCCCCTCCCCCCCCCCCCTGTTCCCTCTGCTTTCCCCCAGGGTTTGGTTTTTCCCGTTGGAAAAATGGCTCTGTTATCATACCTGTAAACTTGGGGTTTTTTTTGAGAGCTATGATTCCGGGGATGCTCTTTGACTTTTTTTCCACTCCTCCCCCCTTATTTTTTATTCCATCACGTTTGTTACCATACCCTTTAGTTTCCTTCCAACATTTGGGTTTGGGGGGGTGTGAGGGTGGGAGACCTGGTGGCTTTCTGTGGGGTTCTATAGCTTGGGGGTTTTGGGGGAGGCTGTGGTTGGATTTTTAGGGTGTGTTGGGTGGTGTGATAGGTTGTAGGTTCTGAGAGTAGTTGTGTGGTGCTTTTTCCCTTGCTGCCTTCCTGCTCTACGACCCTTTCTGGTTCCCTCCCGTCTCTTTTCCCAGCTCCTTTGCTTTTTGTCCTCCCCAGCTGCTGTCGTTCTATTTTTTTCTGTCTTGTTAGGAAACCCCCTTGTATCTTCCGATTTTCAAATCGTGGTTTCTTTGGAGGGTCCGTTCCGACTGTTTCCCTCCTGAAATCACTTGATTGGTCGGTTTTTTTCACCTTCGAGTACCCCCCCATTTTCTGAAAATTTACAATCTCGTCCTCTCTTCACCCATTTTCTTTATGATTTTTTCAATTCCCTTTCCCTTTTTTCCGCTTCCTTTCAGGTGTGTCCTTCCTCTTCCCCCTGAACCCCTGGGTAAACACGATTTTGCCTTTCTTCCTCGCATTTTCCTCACCCTCTGTGGCTCTGGATCCCGCCTGTAGTGGCATTTCTCCCCTTTATTTTTTTAGGGCTCTTGATAGCCTTGTTGTGCCCCGCATTCGACCTACACCTCTCCATCTCAAACCTTTATCTTCCTTTCCTCCTTGGCCCCTTGGAGATTTATGTGACCTTAGATTAAATTTATAATTTTCCCTTTCCTTTGTTCAGCCCCGCGCTTCATAGCTGTGCTTCTTGGGCAGCCCCCGTAAATCGCTCCCGCCATTTATCTCAACTTCTAGGGCCCCTTTTTTGGCTACTGCGTTTCGATTGTCCTCCCCAAATTCTTTGTCTCCTTTCCAACCACCTTTCCAAATTTTAAAAGAGCTCTTTCTTCCCTTTTTTCAGAAAACTCCCAATTTTTCCCCACTCTTTTTCCATCCCCTTTTTCCCCTGCTCCTCCCCCACCCTCCCCCCACCAACCCTTTTTCATTTACCTTGGGTCCCCCGAGTCCCCACCCTTTTTTTTTTTTTTTTTTTTTTTTTTTGTGTTGGGTGTGTGTGTGTGTGTTGAGTGTGTGTGTGTGTGTGGTGGTGTGTGGTGGTTTTGTGTGTGTGTGTAGTGTGCTGCTGTTGTATGATATATTTTACGCCCGGGGCATTGTCTGTGCGCCCCCGTGGTATGTGTGTGCGCGCGCGCGCCGTGTGGGGGTATGACCCATTAATTTTGTATTTTTAACCATTACAATTGTGACCAGGTGTGGGCGTATCATGGGTTATTCTTTGTAATTTGTTTATACTGTAACCATGTATAAGTGAAGCTGATTCATTACCTCGTAACTTATGTTGGGCCCGATCTACCTGGAGTTCATTACCTTTTTTAACTATTCAGCTATCATAACTTTGGGGTCCAGTCACTGAACCCCTTATGTCCCCCTTTTAATCTTTTGCTACCGCCCCAGGGTGGGGAGAGGTGCAAAAAGAAGATATTATCACTTTCTATTAGGCGGAAATTGGCCACTAACATCCCCTTTCAAGGCAGGTGAAATTGCTGCCTGAAAATGTACAAGAACCTTCCGGCGCGCAAACGGAATAAAACACCAATTTCTGGGAGCGCTTGAAGTTCCTGAACCTGTATTCCCTGGAACGCGGCGGGAAGATACATGAATAAATACACCTGGAAAATCCTAGAGGGACATACCCCAACTTGCACACGAAAATACTAAAAACCCGAAAAAAAAAGATTGGCAGACGATCACCATCCCCCCCGAAAAGCAGGGTGTCACTCACGTTTAAAAGCCATACAAAAAGTGCAGGGCCCGAACTGTTTAACGCCCCCAGTAAAAAGGGGGATTACCAAAGACCCCCGGCAGTCTTTAAGTGGCACGGGAAAACACCTAAAATCGGGTTCCAACAACCGGGGCCTGGCTGTACGTTGGGTTTTCGTCAGGCCCCGCAACACCCTTTTATCGGGTCGTCCACCAGGAGGCCCGGTACAGACCGGGCCGGGGGGGCTTGACCCCCCAACTCCCCAGGAAACTCCAGGGAAACCCAGATGTGGGAAAGTAATTTAAGATTGGGGCAAAATTTATTTCTTTGCTATTGTTACAAAGAAGTTTTATTTCATAAATTGATTGATACAAAGAAAACCAAAATAATAAAAAATAATAAAAAATAATAAAAATAATAATAAAAATAATAATAATAATAATAAAATAATAATAATAAAATAAATAAATAATAAAAAAGTTTATTTCCTTTCAAAGCTTACAGTGTATGGTTTACATAAAAATATTAATTACAAGGAAAAGCCTCAAACAGCCTAGGGATTTTCAGGCAGACAAAACCCAATTTTACTCTATATTTACACAGGTTATGGGAAAAGTACGTTTTAAATATCTTATTGAAAACTAGGTAACTGAAGTGAAATTTAAATTTGATTTAAATAACGAGGCAGTACAATACATTAAAAATATTACAATCATGCCGAGCGTTACGGGAATTAACCCAAAACTTTAAAAACTCTTAAATCTACAGGTGAAGAATGGTAAAATACAAATATTCAATATTTTACTCTGTTATTAATATGAGGCCCCTCAAGGAAGGTTCCTTGATGTTGGTGAGGGGCTCTTGATTTAGGGAATTGGATCTGTGCTCCAGTTCCCCGAATTAAGCCTGAATGCCTTCCACATCCCCCCCCCCCAGGCGCTGTATAATCCTCCGGGTTTAGCGCTTCCCCCTAGATTATAATAATAATAATATTAATATGAGGTAGTATAATTTATGATACATAAATTTTTAGGTTTGTAATAATGGCTTAATAGTTAAGGGATAATGAAATATTTGGGTGAGTTGCATTATTGTACATAGCTATGGTCTATATAAGTTGTGTCATGTACTTGTAAAAATAAAGATTAATAATAACAACATTATTATTATCGGCCGGTGGGAGAATTGGACCTGCCCCGCATAGGCCAGTAGGCCCGTTGCGGTGTTCCTTCTTTCTTAAGAACATAAGAACATAAGAATGTAGGAACACTGCAGAAGGCCTACTGGCCCATACGAGACAGGTCCTTATCAGAACGACCTCTACCTAAAGCTTATCATTCACTCCATCACTGTCTTGTCAGAGGTGCACTCACACTACAGTTATAAAACTACAATATAAACTTCAGTGTGCAGACACTGTACTTCCCATCTCCACGACTCATCATTAATATTATAATACTTACACTTAAGAAGAGGTGGATACTGCGTAACCCGTCAGTGGCCCTATAAACCCCAACAACAACACCAAGAAGGCAGCGGGAGAGACATAACAGCGCACTTCTGCGCCAATCTTCGTTGGGTGTGGACGTCTCTCTCGCCTGAGTATCAGTGACAAATTTCCCCCGTTCTCTCTGGGACGCTTGTCCTCATCTATTTTACCCGCCGGGCACTCTACAGGAGTGGCACCTGTTCATCGGCTTACTTCAGCCAGCTCCATTTTTTCCGCTCTGCGGATAATTCTTTATCGGTCTTTGGTGGGAAGCCGGTTACTGAACTCAGGTTGGCGTCCCTCTCTGCTGGGTCTTGGCAAGGGCGTCCACCGGATCTAATTGTAAACTTCAAGTTTCCATCTCTGTTTACAAAGGAACTTTTGTTCTTTTTCTCTCATCGCCCAGCCTTAGGCAACAATTTTTCCTCGTACAATGGAGAAACCGAGCAGGATACAGCTTATGCTGTCAGTGACCCTTATAAACCCAACAAAGAAAGAAGAAAGAAAGACAACGGCGCATATTATCAGTGGCCCTATAAACCCTAACAACAACAACAACAGACATAACATGACCCAGGATGGATGACGGGGAAATATTTACCAGACTACAAGCAGCAAGTGTGAGAGTGGCGAGGGAGAGAAGTGTAGAGAGTGTGAGAGAAGTGAGGAAGGAGGTAGAGAAGGTAACTGGTTGTCTCACACACTACAAGGACTACCTTCTCTTCCCTCACATTATCATACTTAAGACTACTCACAAATGGTAAGTAAAAAACGAACTCACTAAATTACTGTTTGTAAATTACTAAGTTGGTTAGTAAATTAGTAAGTTGGTAATTAAGTTATTAGTAAGTTGGTAAGTTATTAAATTAGTAAGTCGGTAAGTAAGTTTTTAAGTAAGGTGATTAGTAAGTTTGTAAGTAAATTAGTAAATTGGTAAGTAAGTTTTTAAATTAGTGAGTTGGTCAGTAAGTTAGTAGGCTGGTAATTGAGTAAATTAGTAACTTGGTAAGTAAATTAGTAAGCTTTTTATGTAAGTAAATTAATAAATTAGTAATTTGGTAAGTAAGTTAGTAAATTAGTAACTTGATAAGTTAGGTACAGGTACACATAAGTACAGTTATCATACATAGGGAAATATTGTAATAATCGTGAACGAGCAGTGAAAGATGCAAAATAACCCCAGGGGGAGTTGCATGATAGCTCTAGGCCTTTCATGTTCAATCAACACATCATCAGGAGCTTCCAGTGTTGCAGAAATGAGTAGGAAGTCCAGGTAAATTAATTCCCTGAATGAAACAAGCTGGTAGGATATCCTTAACAACATGGATCCGAACATTTGTCTTGAAAAAATGAACTCTGTGGTTCTTGAGATCTGCTCAAGACACATTCCATTAAGAAAAAGAGAGAGAAGATGTAAACTAGAAAGAGAAAAACGCTCCCTATACAGACGAAGGCAAAGAGTCAGAGCTGCTGAGTGGGGTCAATATATCTGAAATACGAAGGGAGGCGCTAGTAAATGAAATTGCAAATATTGAGCTTAAGCTGAAGGAATCTTATAGGAGTCAAAAATCACAGGAAGAACTAAAAGCTATAAAGGAAATTGAAAAAACCCAAAATGCTTCTTCTCTTATGCCAGATCTAAAGGAAAAATAACATCCAGTATTGGGCTCCTGCTTAGGTGGGATGGGACATACACAGATAATAGCCAAGAAATGAGTGAGATATTAAAATCCCAATATGACTCAGTGTTCAGGGATCCACTGCCCACTCTAAGGGTTGACAATCCAAATGAATTCTTTATGAACGAAACCCAGAATTTGGTCATCTCAAAAATCTCGGATATTATCCTAACTCCACAAGACTTTGAAGAGGCAATAAATGTCATGCCTATGCGCTCTGCCCCAGGCCCAGACTTGTGGAATTCTGTGTTCATCAAGAACTGCAAGAAGCCCCTGTCAGGTGCCTTCAGCATTCTATGGAGAAGGAGTTTGGACACAGGGGTCATCCCACACACACTAAAAACAACAGACTCCACAAAGGTGGCAGTAAAGCAATTGCAAAGAACTACAGACTGATAGCACTAACAACCCATATCATAAAAATCTTTGAGAGGGTTTTAAGAAGCAAGATCGCCAACCATCTAGATACCCATCAATTACACAACCCAAGGCAACACGGGTTTAGAGCAGGTCGCTCCTGCCTGTCCCAGCTACTGGACTAATATGATAAGGTCCTGGATGCTGTAGAGGTTAAACAAAATACAGATGTAGTATACACAGACTTTGCAAAAGCTTTCGACAAGTGTGACCATGGTGTCAGCACACAAAATGCGTGATAAAGGAATAACAGGAAAAGTTGGTAGATGGATCTATAAGACTTAAGAAAATCATAATGACACGATTGCAAACAAACCATACCCCCGGCCGGGATTGAACCCGCGGTCATAGAGTCTCAAAACTCCAGCCCGTCGCGTTAGCCACTAGACCAGCTAGCCACAATAAGATTCATCCAACTAGGTATATTTCTACACCATAGGAAGGGTATGGTTTGTTTGCAATCGTGTCATTACGATTTCTTAAGTCATGTTGACGGCAGTGAAGGGACTTGAGCTAGAGTTCGTCACGGCCACGCTAGCTGGAGATTCGTCTGTAAAAACTTGCATTTGTGGTCACAGAGGTGCCTGTGCTAACCTTCCTATGGTGTAGAAATATACCTAGTTGGATGAATCTTATTGTGGCTAGCTGGTCTAGTGGCTAACACGACGGGCTGGAGTTTTGAGACTCTATGACCGCGGGTTCAATCCCGGCCGGGGGTATGGTTTATGGATCTATAACTTCCTGACAAATAGAACACGAAAAGTAAAGAGTAATAGTAAACAGAGTAAAGTCCCAGGCAGCCACGGTGAAAAGCTCTGTGCCACAAGGCACAGTACTCGCTCCCATTCTATTCCTTATCCTCATTTCTGACATAGAGATGTAAGCCATAGCTCTGTGTCTTCCTTTACAGATGACACCTGGATCACCATGGCAGTGACTTCCATCGAAGACACCGCGAGACTCCAAGTGGACATCAAATAAATCTTCGAATGGGCCACTCGAAACAATATGAAGTTCAACAAGGAGAAATTTCAACCACTCAGATATGGGAAACTTGAAGAAATTAAAAATGGGTCAGGGTATACGACAAATTATAACCATACAATAGAGCAGAAAAATAATGTGAAGGACCTGGGAGTGATAATGTCAGAGGATCTTGCTTTCAAAGACCACAACAATGTATCTACCACATCCGCTAGGAAAATGATAGGATGGATAATGAGAACCACTAAAACTAGGGACACCAAGCCCATGATGATTCTCTTCAAATTGCTTGTGCTCTTCTATGCTGGAATATTGCTGTACACTAACGGCCCCCTTCAAGGCTGGCGACATTGCAGACCTGGAGAGTGTACAAAGAACTTTCACGGCACACATAAGTGTGATAAGGTACCTAAACTACTGGGAATGGTTGAAGGTTCTTGATCTGTATTCCCTCAGATGCAGGTGAGAGAGATACGTGATAACATACACTAGGAAGGTCCTGGAGGGATTGGTACTAAACCTGCACATGAAAATTGCTCCCTATGAAAGCAAAAGACTCGGCAGGAGATGCAACATTCCCCCGATGAAAAGCAGGGGCACCATGAGTGCATTGAGAGACAGCACAATAAGTGTCCGGGGCCCAAGACTGTTCAACTGCCTCCCAGCATACATAAGGGGGATTACCAATAGACCCCAGGCTGTCTTTAAGAAGGCACTGGACAGGCACCTAAAGTCAGTACCTGACCATCCGGGCTGTGGTTCGTACATCAACTTGCGTGCGGCCAGCAGTAACAGCTTGGTTGATCAGACCCTGATCCACCATGAGGCCTGGTCTCAGACTGAGCCGCGGGGGCGTTAACCCCTGAAGCCCTCTCCAGGTAAACTCCAGGTAAACCCATTTCTGCAACATTGCAAGCTCCTGATGGTGTTTTGATTACAACACAAAAGGCCTAGAGTTATCATTCAACTCTCTCTGGGGTTATTTTGCATAGTAACATGCATTTAATACCTAGGATAACCCCCACCCAAAAAAATAAGTCATAGTGACTTGTTTCCATTTTGGTCATTGTATTCCATGTGATGGTTAATGGGTTTAAAGTCTATTACACCAAGATCATGTGATGATTAATGGGGTTTAAAGTCTATTACACCAAGATTATGTGATGATTAATGGGGTTTAAAGTCTATCTACTACACCATGATCATTAAGATTGTATGTAATATTTTCTCCACCATACAAGAATACTTTATTCCCTAAAATAGGGATTAAACTGTCATCATATGTACAGTGAGAGAAATACACCTCTGCGTATATGTCTTCTCAAGGTTTTATGTAAAATAAAGTTAGGTTTATATTTCATGATTCACAGTATTACATTATATACAAGTTTATCTTGTTACATTATATACAATTTTATTATATTACATTATGTGAAAGCTTATTTTATTTTATTATATATACAAGGACAGCAGGTGCAAGAGGACTAACACCCAGGTACCTACTTACTAGCTAGGTGAATGAGAACAGCAGGTGTAAGTGTTTCCAGCCAGCTGGAATTGAGCCATGGACTCTATGTGTGAGGCGAGAGCGTTGTCTTCCAGGGCACGGGACTAGTCTAGGTTTGGTTTGATTGGGTTGGGTTGGATTTACTTACTTATTAAATGTACTTATTGAAATAGTTTTTTCCTCTTTGTTTACAATATAACTGTGTCCATTGGAAAACACTGAAGAATGCTTCAGGGGGCATCACCCCCTGTGGTCTGGTCCTAGACCAGGCCTCCTGCTGGATCAAGACCTGATCAACTAGAATAAATTATATTATTACTTTGCTTATTATCACCTACATAAATAATTTCCACAACAAATAACTATTTTTCCCGTGGGATGGATGACATGGTTGTTATTCAAAATATAAAATATTAACAGATTTTTGTCCCTGGAAAAAAAACTCAATGAATCACAGAATGGATGGGGCTTGAACCCAGGTCAGGCAAATAATTACTCTAATATATTTCAGAGGGCTGAAGAAGGGTTGAGGTAATTTGGGTACTTAAGTTGAATCAAAATAGGATGACAAAGAGGGTGGAAAAATATGGGGTCATTCTTAGAAGGGTTGGCGGGAGCGGGTAACGAGTCATTCCATGTGAAGTGGACTAGGGGTCTCCACCTGACCCTCTCCAATTTTGATAAAATTGTAGATGAAGGTTGGCATGTACATCAGACTAACTTTGGGAAAGTTTTATTTCATGATATGCAATAGTAGTAATGCTATGGCCCTCAGAGTGAAGGCAGGTGAAAATTTCACCGATTAGAAGAGATTAATCATAGGCTTGGTGTCCCTAGTTTTGAAAGTTCTCATTATCTATCCTGTCATTTTCCTAGCAAATGTGGTAGATACATTGTTGTGGTCTTCGAAGGTGAGATCTTCTGACCTTATCACTCCTAGGTCCTTCACATTACTTTTTTGCTCTGTTGTATGGTTAGAATTGTTGACATATTTTTTGTTGTTAATAATGGTAGGTTAGAAATTGGCTTGTAATTGTTGATTTCTGCTGGTCTTCGCATTTTGCGTGTTGGCATAATCTTGCTAGCTTAACTATGCAAGGTTTCTATTGATTTGTTGAACAAACCATAAAGAATAAAAAGGCACAGTACATAAATAATTTTCACTTAGGAGAAAGAAACTTAATAGGTAAATGATAGCACATAAGCAGCTTTCTTATTTATTAGTGGTGGCATATTAGTATTGTATTGTTACCGTCAGTCCCTGGCCAGATGGAAATGTTGGGTGTTTCCTTACACCTGCTGTCCCTGTTCACGTAGCAAGTAGGTACCTGGGTGTTAACCAACTGGTGTGGGTGGCATCCTGTGGGACTACAAATGGAAATAAGACAGATGATCCTCAGTGACACACTGTCTTTCTTGGCTTATCCTTGGTGGCTAACCCTCTGGGTTAAAAATACCAACAAAATCTTGTCTTATCTCTTAACAGCTGTATAGCCCTTGTGATTTAGCACTTCTTTCTGATTATAATAATAATAATAATAATAATAATAATAATAATAATAATAATAATAATAATAATAATAATAATAATAATAATAATGATTATCTCTTAACAGCCTCTTTAGATTTACAGTATAACTTGGGTAATTATATGTTTAACACATGTTTGTAATTGCAAATCATCATTCATAAAACATTTTGTGGTTATTAAGTGTGGATCTTTGTTTTGCAAATCAATAAATGAGTTGTATAATAAGTAGATTCAGGGATATGAATGATGAAGGAATATATTGTTGAATATCAGGGTTTTAGAATTTTTATTGCACTTTTTTTTATATGTAATGACTTGTATGTGATTTGTGTTTTATGTTGAGCCTTAAATCCCATATTTGTGATATGGATAGCTTAGAGTGTAGTATAGGGTGTTAGAGTTAAGATTTTCGGTGATGTATTGGTCAAAGAATTTGCATTTTTATTTAAATGTATAATCTTGTAAGATTTTTTTTGTCATTTCTGCTGTATTTCTAATCATACTCACCGAAAATTTGAATTTTTCTTGAGGCATATGTTAGCATTTGGTGTGAGTCCTAACAATTTTTGTTTACTTAGGAGCCCAGGTGATTACTGAACTTTCAATGTATACAGTATTATATTTTCTTATTTTGAAATATGATGAACACAGTAAGCAGGCTGAAGACTATTGGGAGAAATATTACTTATATTTATGAGCCAGGGAAATTTATCTATACCAGTTTAAGAAGCTTTTGATTAAATTTGGTGAAACAGTTACATTAAATGCTGTAAAGAACATCAGTATATAAACTTAGGTTGTAATAAATGAGATTAATATTTCAGAGTATTTTAAAGACAGCAGTCATCCAGAGAGGCACTATCCTCCTGTCATGAGACATAGGTAGTAGGTTGCTAGACAGCAGTCATCCAGAGAGGCACTTCCTCCTGTCATAAGACATAAGTGGATATAAATGCTCTGGAAAACATACAGAGGAGGATGACAAAGATGATCCCATGTATCAGAAATCTTCCCTATGAGGATAGACTGAGGACCCTGAATCTGCACTCTCTCGAAAGGCATAGAATTAGGGGGGATATGACTGAGGTGTATAAATGGAAAATAGGAGTAAATAAAGGGGATGTAAATAGCGTGCTGAAAATTTCCAGCCAAGACAGGACTCGCAGCAATGGTTTCAAGTTGGAAAAATTCAGATTCAGGAAGGATATAGGAAAGCACTGGTTTGGTAATAGAGTTGTGGATGAGTGGAACAAACTCCCGAGTACAGGTATTGAGGCTAAAATGTTGTGTAGTTTTAAAAATAGGTTAGATAAATACATGAGTTGATGTGGGTGGGTGTGAGTTGGACCTGACTAGCTTGTGCTGCTGGGTCTGGTGCCATGCTCCTTCCTTGAGTGGAGGCGACCAGACTGGGTGGGTCATTGGGCTAATCCGGGGGGGGGGGACATGGACCTGCTCCGCAGGGGTCAGTAGGCCTGCTACAGTGTTCCTTCTTCCTTATGTTCTTATAAGTAGTAGGTTGCTAAACAGCAGTCATCCAGAGAGGCACTATACTCCTGTCATGAGACATAGGTAGTAGATTGCTAGACAGCAGTCATCCAGAGAGGCACTATCCTCCTGTCATGAGACATAGGTAGTAGGTTGCTAGACAGCAGTCGTCCAGAGAAGCACTACCCTCCTCTTTTGTTAGTATGAAACAGAATGTAAAATATCAACCATCAGGGGAAGTATGTACTACCATTGTGTCATAAAAGTATGTTCGTAGGCAACAAACATCCAGGAAATTGATACCCTTCAGTTGTATGAGTGTAACACAGGCTTGTTAAATGCTATGCATTCTTGCATATCTATATCCATGGATTTAACAAGTTTTTCTGTTATAATAATAATAATAATAATAATAATAACAGTAATTTACTCTAACTCGATAAGCATTAGTTGACACAAATGGTAATTTTCCTTGTTTCTTTGCAGTTCCTGGGAGTTACAAGAGGAGATAGTTGGAGTCATTCATGAAGTTCTCTACCGCTCCACTATTGAAGACTTGATATTTTTCCAAGAAATATTCACACAACTCTTCTTTATTTTGACTGATAAAACAGATCCTCAGAAAGGTGATAACTGAATTCTTTCAGAGATTATTTATATTGTTGTTTGATGACTTAACAATTACAATTTGTGTATTGAATAGTAACTATGTAGTATTCCACATAATTACATCCCATTCCTAAAGATACTATTGGACCCTTACAATATTGGTTCTTCCATTTGGATATTGCTTATTATCCTGTCCCCTCAGAGATGGGGGGGGGGGGGGTAAAGGTGCACTGGATTTTCAGTCACACCAGATGTTCACATTATCTTTTTATGGGCTCTTTTAGTTGTACATTTCATTTTAATAAAGATACAGCCTCTCCTCACTTAATGACGGAGTTCCGTTCTTAAGACCACGTTGGTAAATGAATTTGTTGCTAAGCAAGGAGCATACTATGATGGTAGTGAGTTTGTGTCAACCATCTTTGATATTGTTTTAATGTCACTTTTGCACCATTTATAATATTTTTAGTATACTTATTTTTCAATGTTTATACAGTAGTGTATTGTATATTGTAATAAACAGAATAGAGGAAATCAGCTCTAATATACATTTTTTTAGGTATGCATACAGGTCAGAGAGCCCGTTGTAAGTCCCGGTCGTCAGTAAACTGGTACGTCGCTAAGTGAGGAGAGGCTGTAATAATAATAATACCTTTATTTCTACAAGTATACATGTACAAGGTATAAAGGCCTAGCGGACATCAGTGACATACCACTATATAGAAAGCCGCTTGTTATGCAGAGCAGTTTAGGTAAATTAGGTTAGTTTTGTCCCAGGATGTGACCCACACCAATCGACTAACACCCAGGTACCCATTTTATACTATTGGGTGAACAGGGACAGCAAGTGTCTTATGGAAATACGTCCTAATATTTTCCAGCAGTACCAGAGATTCGAATTCTGGACCTCAGTGTGTGAGTTGAGTGCACTAGCGATCGAGCTATGGCATTATCTGTGTAAGTGCTTTATTGAACAATGCTGCTAGAAAATGTTAAGTGCTGAACTGATCACCATATAACTTAGGATCCTTATTATTGTAATGCATTCTGTCCTGCTATGTTGTACAAAAGTACAATTCAGGTCAAATCCTTGTTAAAGTCCACAACTGAACTACCCAAAATACCACACATACTTACAAGGGCTTATCAATTGTCATTATCCATACAAATGTACCTATGTAATTCTAAGTAATAATATAATGTTTTAAGTATGGTAAACCAAACACTCAGTACAGTTCCTGGAGAGCTGCTACAGAACATACAGGTATTATACTATAAATAAATATCTCTCTGATATTGCACATATACACCTCACTCTGAGTAAGCACTCTTTTCAAATTAAAGGATCCAAATTTTAGAACAACCTTCTTTAAGGATAAAAAATCTTTATTGCCTGATAATTTAAAAAAAAAAATTGCCAAAAAACATCTGAAGTTATGTAATGTTAAATGTTTAATGATCATAAACATTTAGTATTTTATTTTATTTTATTTATTTTATTTATTTTATGTCTTTGCAAATAGTACATTGAGATTTTATATTTACAATAATGGGTTGCAGTGCAAAGAGAGCCTCTGTTATGCCTAGGCATTATGAGCCAACTTAACATTATTGGCTTACAGACTACTTAACACTAAGGATTATATCATAGTTGTACAGTAGGATAGTAATTATTTTATAGTTGAACAATAGATTATTAATTATAAGTGAATCCAAATTTGTATAAGACAAAAGATATATTCATCTATTCAAAAATGCTTTTTGTGAAAACAATGATTCAATTATATTCCTGTCAACAGTGGATAAAAGGTTCAAAGTGATTGTTTCAGTTATGATGTGGTAGTACATAGGTGAATAAATGTGTACAGTACTGAGTATTTAGCATTTAGTCTAGGGTGATTAAGTGGCTTTTGATAAGAGTCTTAAATTGATTTTCAGACTGAGTTACTTTAATATCTTCTGGTAATGAATTCCATATTTTAGGGCCCTTTATGTGCAGAGTTTTTACACAGTGTGATATGGACACGAGGTATATCAAAAAGAGATCTGTGTCTTGTGTTGTGGTCATGTGTCCTGTTTAGGTTGGTGAGAAGTTTGAGTGGAGGGTTTATATTTGCGTGTATTGTTCTGTGTATGTAGTAGGCACATGAATAAATATGGATGTTCTTAATGGTGAGCAGATTCAGACTTTTGAAAATTGGTAGAGTATGCTGGCAGGAGTGGGAATTTGTTATCATTATTGCTGCTGCCTTTTGCTGGGTTATTAGGGGTTTTAAGTGATTGGATGTTGTTGATCCCCATGCACAAATTCCATATGTAAGATAAGGGTATATATAGTGCCAGGAGAGTTGATTGTGGAACGTAGTACCTTATCTTTGATAGTATACCTACAGTCTTGGAGATTTTCTTGGTGATTTGTTATATGTGTGTCTGGAACTTAAGGCTTCTGTCAAGGTGGATATCTAAGAATTTTCCCTCTGTGAGTCTTGTGACTGATGATCCATTTAGTGTTATGTTAATTGGATCATTTGCAGCTTTGTTTTCAAACTGAATGAAATAGGTTTTATCAGTATTCAGGGTAAGTTTGTTAGTCATCATCCAGGCAGATATTTTCTGCAATTCGGCATTGACTGTGTTTGCTAGTATGACTGTGTTTGGGTGGGAAATTCATATGTAGTGTCATCTGCAAATACAGTGGACCCTCGCCTAACGATATTAATCCGTTCCTGAGAGCTAAACGTCAGGCGAAATTATCGTTAGCTGAATTAATTTTCCCCGTAAGAAATAATGGAAATCAAATTAATCCGTTCCTGACACCCCAAAGTATGAAAAAAAAAAAATTACCACATGAAATATTAATTTTAATACACACAAACTGAAGAAGACATGCACAGTTACATGACACTTACCTTTATTGAAGATCTGGTGATGATTGATGGGATGGGAGGAGGGGAGAGTGTGAATGGTGTTAATGTTTAGAAGGGGAATCCCCTTCCATTAGGACTTGAGGTGGCAAGTCCTTTTCCGGGGTTACTTCCCTTCTTCTTTTAATGCCACTAGGACCAGCTTGAGAATAACTGGACCTCTGTCGCACAACATATCTGTCCATAGAGGCCTGTACCTCCCATTCCTTTATGACATTCCTAAAGTGTTTCACAACATTGTCAGTGTAATAGTCACCAGCACGGCTTGCAATAGCTGTGTGAGGGTGATTTTCATCAAAAAAGGTTTGCACTTTAAGCCACATTGCACACATTTCCTTAATCTTTGAAGTAGGCAACTTCCTCAATTTCTCTATCCCCTCCTCTGGAGCAGTTTCCTCAGGTCTGGCCTCTTACTGTTGGAGATGATCTAGCAACTCATCAGTGGTTAGTTTGTAAAGTAAAAAGGACACAAGTGCAGCTAATGTGACATTTTATTGTGGCAACGTTTCGCTCTCCAGGAGCTTTGTCAAGCCGATACAAACAGTATATGGACACAGAGGGTATAAAAAGGCTCAGAGTGAGGTGCAATACTAGTGAGGTACCATTTCGATGTTCACTAGTGGAGGTAGTAGTAGTAGAAGTAGTAGTGACAAAAGTTGTAGTAGTAATACAATATGGTAGAGCAATTAATTCGTACTTGTACAGGGAACACCTAGAGTCCGAACACTTTGCAAACATCATCCCTTCAAGCGTCACTTGGTTACGTTACGTGGACGACGTCCTCGTAATAACTCCCAAATGTTTTGATGTATGGAATCTTCAGGCAAGGCTCAACGCAGTTGAACCGGCGATCCAGTTTACACTAGAAGAAGAGTCCAATGACAAGTTACCTTTCCTCGACGTCCTCATTCACAAAGTAGACAACAACCTAGGATTTCAAGTTTATTGGAAACCTACCAATAAAAATGATCTCACACACTTCTATTCCAGTCAAGATACCAAGACCAAAAGAGGCATCATCATCGGGTTGTTCCTAAGAGCATACCGAATTTGTAGTCCTGAGTTTCTTGACAAGGAATGTACATACATTCACCAAACCTTCACTGAGTTACATTTTCCTTCCTTTTTCATCAAAAACTGCAAGAAAAGAGCTCTTCAGATCATTAATTCTCCACGCACCAACACCACTCCCAACAAAGTTATAATTCTTCCCAACAGCCAGGTTGCACTGAACGTTTCTAAAGTCCTTTCACAAGCTAACACCAGAGTCACCATCGCTTCTAGCACTTCAATAAAGGATCTAACCAGGACAAAATCAAAGCACCACGAACCAGTCAATGCAGGGGTTTACACTATACCCTGTGGAGGCTGTGACAAGGTTTATGTAGGTGAAACAGCAAGAAACCTCGACACTCGCCTCAATGAACACATTTACGTATGTAGGAATGATAACTTGAACAACGCCTGTGTACAACACCGAAATTCCACCAATCATCTCATGAAATTCAGGGACGCCCAATTAGTGATAAAGGAAACTAATTTCCGCAGACGCAAGTGCCTCGAATCAGCACTGATCGCTGTTTCAAATACAATTAAACAAAACAACGGCAGCTTCACCATCTCTGAAGTCTTAGCGAGAATCCTCCTGAAAACAGTAAACCCTGCCATCACATAGTCTCTCCTGTTATACTACATAAAGCACATTACAGAGAGTGAATACTGAAACAGGCTGCGTCTTTTAAGTCTATATTTGTCCAACCTATTTTTATGTTACCCAAGTAATAGCATTTATATCCTTTCACTCATGTACGAATTAATTGCTCTACCATATTGTATTAATACTACAACTTTTGTCACTACTACTTCTACTACTACTACTACCTCCACTAGTGAACATCGAAATGGTACCTCACTAGTATTGCACCTCACTCTGAGCCTTTATATACCCTCTGTGTCCATATACTGTTTGTATCGGCTTGACAAAGCTCCTGGAGAGCAAAACATTGCCACAATAAAATGTCACATTAGTTGCACTTGTGTCCTATTTACTTTACATATTGTCGGTAATTGTACCAACATTATTACAGTGGTTA